TAGCTACGTTACTGTTCGCCCTCAAGCTACTGACTTTCTCGCTACTTGACAACTGCACAAACGAAGCCACTCAACTGCAAAAGCTCTAGACACACTCTACGACAACAGCTAAACAACAAAATCTCCTTTCTTTTCTGCTTGAAAGCAGCACAACTCGCGCAGCTGCCAAAAACAAAATGAGGTTGTCAAGGAAGAAGGGCCGGTTTATGTAGCGCGCGTTGCTAAACACGTCAAGTGACGTCAGACGATTCAATGCGCATGCTTACCTCTTCCCCGCCAATTTTGCTAGCCGGCCACGTGGGTGCGCGCGCTCATTCACACGAGCAATATCGGATATGTCGTCATGTTCTCGTCTCTAGCGCGCGGCGTTCGTTCCTAGTCGTCGTCGTCTTCCTGCGGGGCCTCACAGTTTCCAGCTACTTGTGGTGAGACGCGGGACGAAGACCCTCCGTCCTCTATCTTCATTCCTAGATCCTTTGAGGGGTTAATGGGAAGGGTACGAGACTCTTGATTTTTGAATTGGTATGTGGAGATGGTTTGAAGAGAGTGTTTGGGACAGTGATGTGGGGTCTGATGACCGTCTCTCCAGCACCCACCCACCAGGAGTCTTCCCAGCTCTGATACAGTGTCGAGGACTAGGCCTGAATTAATTTTACTATTTTATTTAATTTACCTATTTTTCTTTTCGTTTATGTTTTATGCTCATAATATAAACCTAGTTTGCTTTCGCTTTCACCTATTTTTCTCACAAAGTTACCCATTTTTCTTCAGTTAAAAAGGAGATTGATAAGCAAGGAACCAAACATTACACAATGTAAATAATTATTCAGTTACTACTATGATTATTATACTGTAAAATGACAGAAAGTTCTGTATAATCTTCCAAATGAGGATTCTTGCTGTGAGTTGAAAGAGTTAGAGAGAATAGAGAACACGCTCCGCTACTGCAGAGGACAGCTGCGCAATTCCAGGTGCTCACCTATTTTTCTCGAATAATGCCCAATGCCTTCAAGCTACCTATTTTGCTATAAATTATGCTAGCAAAATTTATCTAGGCCTATCGAGGACTGGCGTCTCCTTTAGTACCTACAGCGGCCATGTGGTGATCAACTACAGTTGATCAAACAAATACTATACGTATATATCTATCTCCCTGCTAAGTGCAATCTCATAAGGGATGCTAGCTTATGATGCGCCACAATTATTTTAGCAGTCCATTCCTACACTATGGTACAATGCTCTATTTTAAGAGCACCAACACATCCACTTTTGAAGCCACTCTGGGTGCACTGCAGTGCAACACACTGGCACACTGACATCTTTATTATATAGCAGCAAAATTATCACAAAAATGGTACATGGGTAGGTTTTTTGGTACAATTGGTAATTTCTGGTGTTTATAGTGCTACAACAGCTACTGTTGAAGTCTCTATCACCCAGAGAACAGCATAATGTGTAGTTAGTTCTTCCTCTTCTTCTCCTGGAGAGATAAAAAAGAGAGGGAGAGGGAGAGAAGACGGGGTGGGGGGAGGAAGTCAAAGATGTGGACGTATCAAGTAAAAGGTAGAATGGATGTATGGAACCATTCACACAGTTTGAAACTCAACAACTATGCAGTTTACTGTAAGGTTCAATTTCATTCCTAAGGAGTGAAAAAAGACGGAAGACTAAGTGTGAATCACACAACTTTAGCAGCCTGGGTAAATCTTCTTCTTTCTCCTCCCTCCCTCTCTCCCTCTCTCCCTCCCTCTCTCCCTCTCTCCATCCCTCCCTCCCTCTCTCCCTGTCCTTGTCTCACAAGAGGAAACAAACCTTGGAGGCCAGGATTACGAGCAGACGGCGGAAGATGTTGATGAAGTCGAGGAAGAGGTCTAGAGAGTGACGGACGTAGTCGTTGTCTCCGTTGTTGAATCGCTCCACAATCAGTTGGGTGTCAAAGAGAACGAACCCACAGAACAGAATGAGACCACCGTACACATCCAGCTGTGAGGGGGAGAAGGTGGACAAGAGTCAACTAAATTCATTTACAACAAGTATAGGTTATACTGTGCATCAGTGGAAATACAGGATTAAGACACCCCGAGGGGCCTAGAAATAAGCCTATAAACCTAGAGAAGAGCCAACTCTAATGCTTGCTTGTGACATCTGTGCGTATTGCGTGGTGACACTTACTGTGTAGGGACTGTATAGGGGGACAATGAAGTGTATGTACCTGTACTACATGTGTATGGATGTGTGTCTCTCCTACTACGTCTGTGTTTACTCGGCATGATGGTTCAACATGTGGAAACAGTCATGCCACGTACAACGTGTAAAACTTGCACCGGGACAGACCTGGAAATGAGAGACTATACTTTACCTGGAAGACCATGTAAGATCCCAGGAATAATATATTGAAGAACAGCATCATTACCAACATGTTGAGTCCATAAATCAGAAAACCTACATACATACACATACAAACAGATATTATACAACAGCAAGAATTGTGACAAAAACATGCCAAACATTCCGTTTATATACTAGTTGATGTATACTGTAGTTCTCCCACTCTACAATACAGTCATCCACAAAGAAACTGATGCATTAACATGTGCGGTAACGTGATTCTACTGGTTAACTAGCTATTGTCACATGACATAGTGTGGCTCCATGTGCATTAAGCCCAACATATATACATGGTGCAACTTTTGTCTAGTGAAGTCTCACGGAAGATCCACCATGTCTGTTGGGCAGAGGTTGCATGGAAATAGAATGGTTGTCCATTCGACGCAACTTTATCTCATGGAACATGTTGCGTCAGATTGAACATAGATAAAGTTGAGTCTGCATGTTGGCTTTAGGAGTTGGAAAAGCAGCACCTGCCAATAGTTTGGGGAAACCCCTGGGAAACCCCAGTGAAGATATACAACAATAGGCCAAAGGCTATATCTGTAACTTCTGGGTGTGTCCTGGCATATCTAGCATGGTCATGAGCATGTTGCGTCAGATAAAGTTGCACCTGTATGTTGGGCTTTAGGAGTTGCACAGTAGTTGGAAAAGCCGCACCTGCCAATAGTTTAGGGGAAACCATACACACAGTAGGTACTCTGTCATCCATAAAGACATTAACACATACTTTTACTGGTTAACAGCTATTGTCACATGACATAGTGTGGCTCCATGTGCATTAGGAGTTGGAAAGCAGCACCTGCCAATAGTTTAGGGGAAACCATACACACAGTAGGTACTCTGTCATCCATAAAGACATTAACACATACTTTTACTGGTTAACAGCTATTGTCACATGACATAGTGTGGCTCCATGTGCATTAGGAGTTGGAAAGCAGCACCTGCCAATAGTTTAGGGGAAACTCCAGGAAAACCCAGTGAAGATATACAACAATATAGGCCAAAGGATGGTAAGCTATATCTGTAACTTCTGGTTGTGTCCTGGCAAATCTAGCATGGTCTGACAACTAACAGAAAACCTTATCCCATGCTCTGTTGGTGAGTAATGAAATAGCTGCTGGCATACCTCCCAAGAACAGCATACTTCTCCTCTCGGCATACAGAGCGGCAAGACTGAGGCTACCAAATATGGCACACGAGCCAAGGAATGCTGTTGGGATGATACTGTGTACCTTAGAGAGGTGTGGAGAGAGAGAGAGAGAGAGGGGAGGGGGAGACTAATATTATACAGCAAACAACAAACAACTTGCTGCTACAAGAAGGAAACAGTTTTTTCACACATTTTTGCTTACCAAAGCTTGTGCCATAGAACCTCACTCTCAATAAAATAAAAATAACCTCTGTATAAAGGACACACTTTGAGGTCCAAAATATTCAATTTTCAAAGACAGGAAAACCTCACTATTAAAACTGCCTGGTCCCAACATGTCCATTATTCAGAGGTTCCATTGTAATTGGCGAGCGGGAGCGAGCCAACCTAGTCGTCGCAACGGGCCGATTTCTCTATTGATTTATTTATTTATTTATATACGACCGACCGTTGTACGTCGTGTAAGTGCGCATGCGCGACTTCATTTCACAACTAACTGTGGCAACCATGGATCGTCAGTCTACAGAGGATGCCCTTCGTCGTCGAAGAGAGAGGGAAAGACAACGTCGTGCCCGTGAGACTCCTGAGCAGAGAGAGGCTCGGCTTTCTCAACAAACAGAACGTCGCGCCCGTGAGACTCCTGAGCAGAGAGAGGCTCGGCTTTCTCAACGCCGACTGCGTGAGACTCCTGAGCAGAGAGAGGCTCGGCTTTCTCAACACCGACTGCGTGATAGGGAACGGCCAAGGGAACGCCTCGCCGCCGAAACAGCGGAAGAAAGGGAAACACGACTAGCGAGACGTCGTGTACAAGATAGAGCTAGACGCGCTGCAGAATCAGGGGAAACGGAACAGGCCAGGCTCACACAGCTCCGAAACTACCAGGCAAGACGAATTGCTGCCGAGTTCAGCGGGGAGAGAGAGGCCCGCCTGCAACAGGTACTTACGCGCAGGAATCAAGAACAGAGAATTACTGCTGAGGCCAGCGGGGAGAGAGAGGCCCGCCTACAGCTGGTACGACTTAACAAACAACAACGGATTGCCTCAGATACTCCACAAGAGACTGAAGTAAAACGTCAGCGTGACCGTCAAAGTCACATGCAGCAGGCAAGTATACTGCCACTTCAACCTCAACTTCACCAGCCAATTGGTCCAATCAAACTTTGAAGTACTTTCAACACCTGTATACACATTTCTTGGTTGGATCGCTCCCGCTCGCCAACAATGGTTACCATTAAACTAGTATATGATGTGGACATTTTCCTTGGCTGCTGAACTATTACACTACCTGGTCAGTGGTCACTATGGTCTTTGAGAGTATGGAGACACTCTCTGTTACTGCCATCCCATATCTTCACTGTCTAGTAATCTACAGAGCCAAAGTTACAGGGGGTGGAGGCTAACAACTGTTCAAATCTCACCAACCACAGAGAGTGGATGGAGGCCTCTTCCTCTATACTAATTAACCTCCGAGATAATTCAGTGGCAAGTAATGTGTTTTTCAGACCTTTTCTGCTAATGACTGTTGCATGACAGTTGAGACCAGTTTCAGCACTTTAACTTTGTCATTATGGTGAATTGATAGTAAAGTCATTATGTGACGCATAAACATCTGCACAGTAGGGACTCACCAGTGGTGGTGATAGTGGTAGAGGAGGAAGGAAGAGATGTGGGGAGGCTGGTAACTGCATGAGGTGGGACATCACTGTGCAGATAAGACGACTACTTTATTGGCGAGCGGGAGCGAGCTAACCTAGTGGTATATACGAACGGCGCGATTTTTTTATTTACGACCCACCGCGTACGTCGTGTAAGTGCGCATGCTCCAGGATTACGCGCTTCTTTTAATCCGAAATGATTTCAAGATTTCTGACATGCTGCCTGATGTGCCATATGTGCGTACGTGTGTGTAGCTAGCTAGCTCCGTACTCTCGCATCAGTCTGAGAGGAAGCCATTCGTCGTCGAAGAGAGAGGGAAAGATAACATCGTGTCAGTGAGACTCCTGAGCAAGGAACGCGCATATTCTTTACACGCTGCCTAGCTGTCATATCGATGCGAAATCTCAGCGAAAGAACCGTCTCGTCTATTCGCTGGCATTCGCTGCGCTCTTCCGAGGCTGTACCTCTTTCCAATCTTCGTGGTTCTAAGGTTCAAGTTGTAAATAGGCTAGGATGGCTAATGCAGATACACGAGTCATTGTGTGCTCGCTCCCGCTCGCCAAAAATGCCATGCATTCGCCTACTAGTACTTGAGTTTGTGAAAGTTCCAATCAAGGGGGGTAGGACAAGTTACGTGAGAACCACATGACAAAAACGCGTTCCATATGCTCATAAGCGTTGTATTGTGCGTGTGCGTCCAGCGTTCGTCCAGTGTCCAGCTTGTCTGCAGTGTCTGCAGTGTCCAGCCTGTCTGCAGAGTCCGGCGTTCCTCCAGTGTCCCAGCTTGTCTGCAGAGTCTGCAAGCTGGGACACTGGAGGAACGCCGGACTCTGCAGACAGGCTGGACACTGGAGGAACGCTGGACGCTCACGTACACGTAAGCGGCGCGGGTGTAGCTGTACGTAGTAGAAGCTACGTACGTGGCCGCGTGACCTTTGACCTGGTAGGATGTCTGTACATAACGAGACTCATTGCATGCACACCGTGCTCTTCGTGACGTCACACCCAGCCGGTTTCTAATTGATGCGCCGCGCACGGTATGGATGGCGAGTCTGCAGCAGCAGTAACTGCTGTAGGAGATGGAGGAGGTGGAGACGGAGGGAGAGGAGAGGCGGGGATGAGTCAGGAGATGATGGAGGAGGAGAGGAAACACTTCAAGCAGATAGCCAACTCCTTCCTCCACTACAAGTAGGTGGGCCAGTCACCACTTCAATTTATAACTACATAGTAGAGTAAACGCCATACATTTAGAGAGAGGTTCTTCATCACAAAATCTATGCATAACTAAGTAGCTGGAAGAAATAGCTGGAGAGTGCTGGATACTAAGATCAGTAGGAGCTGTACATTGTGTGACTGAGACATGTACTGTATGCTGTAGACCTTATGTGATGAGACGTGTGGAGAGACTGCAGAGAGATTACTCCTCCCTTCCCTCCGCCCACAGAGAAATGCTCCCTCTTTATCCCTCACTCCTCCTCTCTGGTATATGCTCAGTATATACCTACACTCGAAGACGTCTTGTATCAAACTGCATACATGTATCTGGATTGTATGCCACATGTTAATGTGTATGTTTCTCGCTTGTTTTGTCTGTTGCTTGTCTCTTATTATGTACTTTTGTGTACACGAATTAGACTTCTTTTATCACACTGCATACACCCGCCTTGATTTGTGTGTTATCTCGTTTGCAACGAAGGTCGTGTGGTTTTTATGATGGTGTAAGTGTAACGGTTGTGGTCGTAATAGAGCCTCATACAAATGTCATGTGAGAAGCATGCGACCTCATAGAATGTTATGTATGTCATGTGAGTGTCATGTGACCTCTACAAATGTCATGGGAGAAGCATGCGACCTCATAGAATGTTATGTATGTCATGTGAGTGTCATGTGACCTCTACAAATGTCATGTGAGAAGCATGCGACCTCATAGAATGTTATGTATGTCATGTGAGTGTCATGTGACCTCGTACAGTTATGGAAGCAGTGGAGAGGAACCAGGGATTTGTACAGACGATAGTCTCCTGTGCAGCTGGCATGTTTGAAAACTCTAATTTCGTGAGTATTTCTCTCATCTTGCGCCGTCTTGAATTGTAGCTCATTGACAAATCCAAAATCTATGGTTTTCATGGGGGAGAGGCTGGGAGCCCTTGTATATCCTGCCACATTCCCTTTAACTAAACTGTCTATGCTCCCTCATTTCACATGTCATCTGTGCGAAAACCACATATTGTAAACCTACTGTAAGTTATCCAATATTGTAACAGCGAGAGGATGGCGGTAGAGGTGTGGCTCAGCTCGGACTCCACGGTTGGAGCAAAGTCAAGACAACCATCAAAACAGTTTCATACAGAGACTGGAGTTCAGAGGTCAGCATTAAACCCACCAACAATTTTTCTTAATGCACCCTTTGTCTGTAGTGTTTTGTGAGTTGGCCTATCATCACCACTGGCTCCAGACTGGAGTTCAGCGGGTCAACATGTACACACCACCACCTCAGTTTTCTATAATGGTCTGCAAATTAACCCATCGTACCATATCGACCTTCAGTCTCCCATTTTTCGCCGCCGGTTTTGCACACGCCCCGTGTCTTGTCCTACTTTATTTTCCCTCGTCCCTGTTATCCTGTCCCTTTCTCTATCTTGTTCACTTGCTAGCTAAACAGTTTCGGTGACCCTTATTTTGCGCTGCATACTCAGCTGTAGTCAGGTATTCAGGGACAGTTGTTGACCTGTACATCATCCCACTTGCTGCTAACCGTCCGAACAGTTGTCGCAACATACGATCTCTCTCTCTCTCTCTCTCTCATTGCCAGGGAGCAGCAGAGAGGGACATGTGCCATAACCAATTATTGATGACATCATCGTTTGTTCCCTCCAGACAAGATGTTAGCATAATAATAATACTCTCTACCTGCTCTTATATATATAACCTTTTAAAATAGTGATATAATATTCTCATTTCACTGTGACATATGGTTGTTCTATTTTTAGTAGCATTACTAAATATAGCCTATGTACTGCACGTTTTCCTTTAATATACATCGTTTTTCCTTTTCGTTTCTCTATCTTTCCCTCTCCTCTCCCCTCAGTCCCAGTGGAGAGGTATCAATCCTGGTGCCAGGGGCAGGACTGGGTCGACTGGCTATGAAATTGCCAGGAGAGGCTACAGCTGTCAGGGAAATGAGTTCAGGCCATCCAGCCACACCATCCATCCGTGGGTGCCCAGTTCTCCACATGATGTCATACGAAACCAGACTGCACCAGTAGCCGTACCTGACTTGAACCCCAGGGCTCTTCCTCAGTTGGGACTCTTCTCCATGACAGCCGGAGATTTCCTCGATGTCTACAGGACTCCAGGTATTGCATGTTACAGCAGGGCTGGTGCTGAACCAAGGGGACATAGTCCCTCTCTCTCTTCATTTGTTCCCTGAATATGCTTCCCAGGGACACTTTACACCCAATTAGCCAACTTTGTATTGAGATATAGGAGCCATTCTTCTGCTAGGATTGCGAGCGCATTGGCATAGCTTGCAATATGTCTGTTATTTTTATACCTGATCAGCCATTGAACAGCGGGATGACATGGAACAGTGACATGTCCTTGGATAACAAGATAAGCCTCAATAAAGTTTCACGGACCAGAGTCATTTCATGGGTGTTTTGCAATCCACACGTGTACTGAGTTAAAATCGTGCGTTTTTCCTGTACAGAGTTGACGAGTTAATTAGAAAAGGTCTGAGGCTCTTTGTTTTATGTACACCTTACTGCTAAAGTGGTTGGCCTCCTCTCTTCCAGATCGTGGGATTGCGTGGCGTGTTCGTTTTCATCGACACGGCCGCACAACATCATCCAGTATCTGGAGAGCATCTATCATATCCTCAGACGCCGGTGGATACTGTTAACATGGTCAAGTAGAGTGGCCCGCGGTTCATTGTAATATCTCAGGCGGGCTTATCTGTGTTCTAACGTCACTCTTCTGTTTGCGAATCGTTGCACAGAAAATGGTTGCGAACAGGGGTACCATGCATAAATTTTGTGCGAAAAGCTTTGTGTTTTCATATTTAAAGAAGGAATACAGTCGTACGTATATAAAGAGGTGTCCTTAGTTGCTGCTACATCCTAACTCTGAACTTTCTCTCTCCCTTTCCCTCTCTTTTCCCTTCTCTCCCTCCCTCTCTCTCTCCCTATCTCTCCCTCTCTCCCTATCTCTCCCTCCTCTCTCTCTTTCTCCCACTTCCCTCCCTGTCTTCCCATCAGGACCCCTCCTCTATCACTATGCCGACATACCAGGGGAGTTCTCTCTGGAACTGAGTTGGGACGACGTCTTGAGAATTGCAAGAGACGAATAGGATTTGAATTCTGGTGAGTTCAACTATCTCTCTCTTTACGCCCTAATGGTTGCCGTAGGTTACATGCAGTTTCCTCCTGGACACTGGTCAACCAACAACAGGTCCATGTGTGCTACCAAGCATGAATGTGTGTTTACTAAATGTCATAGCAACTCACATCAACTTAACTAAGCAAACAAATTAATATCCATACCATAATGTTCTAATTCAGCAGAAAACACGCGCAAAATATTGAACTCCTGGCACTCGCTTGCCAACAATTCTTATAGGATGTTTTTTCTGTTCTGCAGACAGGGAGGAGAGGTTTCCCTGTCCCTCATACAGAACCCCCGCATCCTGATTCAGATACCTACAGTGTATTTACCAGTTGCCAGGAAACCGAGAAAGAGCCACCCCCATTGGCACTCGGTTGTAAATAGTGATGGTGCAATCAGAAGCCACACCCCCTGCCCCATGGCCGCTATAACATTACGCAGTTCCAAATTC